GAAACCGTGAGATCATGACCTGAGCTGAAATCAAGTCAGATATTTAACCAACTGAGCCACCCGGGTGTCCCCAAAATTTTGTTTTTGATTGTTGTAGTAAGACATGAAAACCTTCAAAACTGGAATATAATTAATGGTAAATAAATGCATTAAAAAGTATCTGATAACAGGCATGTAAATGGTTTAACTCATTGGTGACAAGCTGGCCCTTAATATGGTTTGCCGTACTGTTGAAGGTTTTTCTTTCTTCCCCCTTCTCCGATCCACCCCCTTCACATCTCTGCAAAAACAAAAACAAAAACAAAAACAAACAAAAAAAACCCCAAAACGCTGAAGCATAGCAAAACTAACATGAGAAGTTTTTTTTTCCCCCTACTGCAAGTCATACAAAATGAGTTGCTGTAATTTGATCCAAAGCATTGCAACATTTACACTTCAACTGCACTTGTAACAAGTTTGACGAAGCAGATTTGGTATGAGCAGCCTTTTCCTTCAAATGGAACAGAAGCCCATCCTTTCAGGGCTTGAAGAGCACAGTGGGACCCATTGAGGTAGGGTGCAGGCCTGTGCAGCCACCATAGCAAACAGGTCCCCTCCCTGCTGCCCCCAGTCACTGCGGCACATAAGCTCCTTTGCAGCACAGATTACAGCAATTTATATGCAGTAACACAGCCTAATCCCCCAGGGCGGGCGCCAGTGCAGGTGCAGGAGGGCTGGCACTTGCTCCCCACCATGACAAGAAAGCACAAGGGGAGACCCTGAAGTCTGGGGCCAGGGCAGAGCCCCTCAGCGGCTGACAAAGTCCAGTGGGCAGGCAGCCCCGCAGGTGACAGTTCACCTTCCTGGAGGATGGACCTTTTGTTGAAAGGCAAGAGACCTGGCATCAGAATGACTCTGAAAACCTACCATTCCCCTTTACTGTCGTCCTCCTCCACGTGACCCTTCAAGGGCATAGGATTGAGGCAAAATGTGACTGTCATTTTGCTCAATCACACATGACAATGGTAAGCGTCTCTAGCCTGCTGGGAGTGAAGATGTGCGTTAGCCGCGTCCCTGCACCTGTTGTCTGAGCAGCAGAGGAAGCACACGCCCGCTGAATTGGGGGTGAGGCTGGGCGAGCTTTGTGAATGGGATGTGTCAAAAGGCTGGGCAGGAAGGGAGCACAGTCTTGGCCCACAGAGATCAAGAGCTTGATCCCGCTGGGTTGATGGGAGTTTGGGGAGACTAGGGAAAGGTCAGGGCTACTTCTGTGTTCCCCCAGCTGTGGGTGCACCAGCAGCACCTGCCCCTTCTCCCTCAGCACCCTGTGAAAGGGAATGCATCCCCTTCACTCCCAGCTGTCACTCTGCAGCCAAGAGGGACGGACAGTCATGTGACCTACAGTTTGTGACACATGGCCCTGTCTCCAAACACCAAAGTCCTGAAATGCTATGGTCCACATGCATACTATGGCCTCATGTTGGCCCAGAATAGCAGGACTGGGAAAGCAATCCCACCTTCCAGAGGTGAGGTGCCATGAGCGTCTGCCCCACAAGACTCTCCCACTCCCACTCCGGACAGGGCTCCCACACGTGTCCCCACAACGCCCAAAAGCCCACCGGTCCCGCCCTGCCCTCCAGAAATATGTCCACCAGTCATGAGCGGACCAGGTCCACCTCTGTCGTGTGGTAAGAAGAGGCTCACACAGGCCCAGGTGCCCAAGCAAGCATGTGGTTCTCATTTGTGTAAATGAATTGTTTCCAATGCTACCAATCTAGTTCACACACGTTTCGCACCACCCATTCCCCACCAGGACACACAAAGCCGGTGGTTCTTTGTGGGAGGGACCTCAGGGCTGGACGGTTAGAGGAGGAGGAAGGCTCCATTTCCCCCCTTTGTGCAGCATTGTGATCTCTTCCCCCTTCCAACCATCTCCACGTATTCTTCATTTCTAGATACTGTTAACAAGGGCTATCTGGTTTGTGGGGTTATGGGCCATTTCAATACTTCTCTATATTTAAAATAAAGCAATGCATACTAAGTATAAATAAAGTAACAATGAAGCAAAGCGTATCTCAAGTAGAAGGCCTTCAGAGGTTTAAGGGAAGAAGCAATTACTTCCAGGTCATGGGTATGGATGGGCCACAAGGTCACAGCCAATGCAGTGACAGGTAGGCAGGTCAGCTGGACATTCCACTGGGAGGAACGCATACAGACGGGGCACCATGCACTAATAGCAAGGCTGGGGACAGCGTAGCACACAGACAAGAGGGCTCAACGTGCCAGGGTACCGCTGGGAAGAGATCCAGATGCACTCGAGGGGCTGGAGTGAGGGAGACATTATCACATGACCATGGAATGAAGTCCAGCTGGGTCACATCTATGCTGGAAGGGCCCAGGATGAACCCAGAGTGGTCAGGGCGAGAGTTTCAGTTGGCTCCTGGAGAATGAGTCCGGGTGGCCAGCGGAGTGGTGTGCAGAGAGCGCTCCAGACAGAGGCCAGAGCAGGAAAGAGACTGATGACCCCACAAACTTAGAGCCCAGTTTCGCTGGAGGCTCCTGAGGAGGGGGCTCACAGAGTCTTCTCCCAGGCAGGAAGACACTAAAGCTGCTGATTGAGAAGAGGGATCCTGGCGGGATACACGAGGAGAGGCCAGGAGGAGAGTGAACCAGGAGGCCAGTGAGCACAGAGTCTGGGCATGGCACCACCAAAGAGGGAACCAGAAGGAAGGGGTCCAGCAGCATTCCTAAAGACTGAATCTCGAGGAAGGGAGGGCAGCACCTCCGTAAACATCCACACGACATCAGGAAGTGGAATAGACGAGCACGAGTGGGAGTAGGAAGGAAACGGTGAACTTGAACAAAGCGTCACCAAGACACTGGATGGCCATTCAAGCTTGAGAAGGAAACTGCTCATACCCCGTCCTAAATCCCTCTAGTTAGCTAGTATGATGGAGAACTTACTTTGTCATCAGGACGCATACTGTGCTCTTCCTTACTGAAGAATAAAAACATCTGTGCTTTTTTTCCAAAGGAAAACTAAACATCCCCACAAAGTAAATGACAATTAGGCTGAATGGCAGCAATCCCTCCCGAGAGCACAATGTTATTATACTGGGTCTTAACTGTCATTACACGGTAAGTACCTGTCCCGGACTGGAACTGGCATCCACACAGCTTGCTCCCTTGGCATCAAAGATCTAAACTTTTTTTGATTCTTGGATTATAGAGCAACCATACACAATTTATCCTGTAGTTAGATCTAGCCTAAAACCCCGAGAACGTTCGTGCACACAGTAGCACGTGGGCACTGGTTAAAATGCAGATTCCAATGGGCGTAGTCAGTCCAATATGGGGCCAGGAAGGTGCATCCGTACCAGGAAGCCAGATGGGGCATGGAGTGGGTTTGAAGACCCTTGTTCTAGAGAACAGAGAATGGACAAGCTGAAGAGGAACAAAGGACAGATTCACTGGAGGGGGGTGGGGGGAGAGGAAGAGGCACTTGAAAGTTTCATTTCACTCCCAAACTGCATTCTACATAAATATTCCCCCTGAAATAACTTGAAAAACTTTATAAATCAGTGTTTCATGTTTTTACTCTCCAAATGTTATACAATTCTTTAGCTAAAACAGGAGTAATGAGACAAAATGGTCCTGAAAAGTACAATAGAAAAATACTGTTGACTGGTTTATTTTCCCGAATGAGCAACAGACTATTTACAAATAAGCAGATCTCCAACGATGTGTATTAAAATGGCAAGTCTATTACTGTTTGAAATCTAAATGAAAAAGAAAATTTATTAAGGCACATTTGATCTGTGAGTTTTTAAAACAAACGAACTTTCTGGTGTAATGACAGATTTCACTTTTGTCCCCAAAACATGTGAGCACCAAAATTGTCAAAGAACACTTAATATTTAGTAAAACAGTAAGGAATGTAAAAATTGAGGAGGGAAAAGCATTTTCAAAAGGAAATCTTTGGAGATCAGTTTACTGCAAATAAAATAACACTAAACACACTCCTGATACACATAAATACTAATAGCTAAACAGGTACTTGAGAAATGGCCGAGCTCTAAACAATGGATATTAAATAAATTAAAGGTATTTCAGATACAAAGAATAAAACAAAACAGTAATTAAAGATTGAAACAGCCAACTCCACCGATGTAACACAGACAGGATGAACAAAACCAAAATACATTTTCCCCCAATGCTTTCATTAGGGCGGGTTTTTGTTTCTGTTTTAGCTTGTGTACATTAGATTTATTACAATAATTCTTCCTTGCCATTCCAAATATTAATAGTGTACCCTTTAAAGATGAGAAAAAACAAAAAAACAAAAAACCAAATCCTTCTTGGAATTTAATGCCAGGTCCATTAAGCCACACAAATTACGACGACAGCCATTCATCTTACTGTGCCTTTCTCCCCTTGCTTTTAAAACAACTCCGTGACCACAATGAGCACAAGTTGGGGGAAAGAATCAACTTTGGAAAGCTCTCCCGACAATGATGATACAGCTTATTATCACATTTCCTTATTTTACAATTAGAACATGAAATGGCTTAAAAAAAAAAAAATCGCCATTGAAAAAAAAAAAGACAAAAGGTCGAATCTGTGCAACGTTACCAGTTACAACAAAACATGTACCAGAGTTACAGTGTTCTGTTACATTAATACTTTGCAGGAACGTTCATGTTTTCTACCATAGGACCACAGCAAAGGGGTCTGAAAAGAAACGCATAAAACACAACGAAACACGACAAGAAAGTTCTGTCCATCAGGTACATTTCAAGTCATTATCAAGCAGGCCTGCTACATGACGTTCAGCAAGAAAATGTGCTCAAAGGCAAACATGATCACATTTTTGTTCAAAAAGCTCAATCATCAAGGAGTCCTTTGTAAGAAAATCATGTGTAAAATATAATCCTTGTATGGACTTCGAAAACGGATCATACAAAAAATTTTTGAAAAATAAATTAGATAATTAAAAACGTCTCTTCCAGCAAAGCTGGACCTTAGGCTGTCCTCACTGAGCCACTGTTATTGCTGTTTTTACTGTAACTTGGGTCGTTTTTTTCCAGCCACATTTCAGCCAGCTGCTGTGTGGACCCATATGTGGATGCTTTGGACCCCAAGCACATTTTGTACTGTTTGGGATCGAGATTGGGATCACAAAAGACAGGATGGTGGACGTGGACTACTCCCACTTCTTGGCTCCTAAATGTCTTCAAACCTGCCTGGACAACCTTGTTGAAAAGGTCCACATCCTCGAGCCCCCAGCCCTGGATGGAAACATCAAAGCCGCCTACTCGGACAAGATCTCCCTTGTAAATGCAAGTAATGCCAAACCCATAGTTTCTCCAGAAGCCAGTTTTCTGAGTGAAGGCAAAATGGTTATCACTGGGAACTTTCCCACTATAAACAATCTTTGGATCGTACTGGCTAAAGATGATTGGAAAATATATCTGTTGGCCCAGAACTGTGTTTGCTCGACATCGTTGAAGGAATTCTGTAGTAAACACGAGGTCAACGTCACAGAAAAAGAGCAGAGACTCGTTACTGAACTGGGAAGACCCTACTTCAAGGGCCAGAGCTCTTGAAAACTCTCCAGACACAGGCAAAATCTGCATGTCAGCTTTAGGGTACTTAATGCGATAATCTCTCATGAGTTCAACTTGTTTGGCCTTGTCAGGGTTCGAGTCAGAATTGAAAAGCAGAACCACGAGCTTGACGTTCTGATTGGGAATGAGACACGTCTTCTCGAAGTTTCCCATGAATCTCACAAACATGTCGAAACGCCCAGACAATGGAATCAATATATTTATCTTTTTCTCTTTGGGTTCTTTGTGCTCGTTCTTTGATCCAGGGAGCTGAAAGGGAACAAGTTTCTTCAGGGAATTTGAGAGAAAGGACAAGGATCCGGATTCCTGATTGATTTTGTTGGCCAATTCCTTTGCATCCAGTTCCTCGTGCTCCACAAACTGGATCTTGCTGAAGGTCTGCTGTAAATATGCGTGTCGCCGGACGGGAACAGTCATTTTTTTCCCTTTGTGCTTTTTGTACAGAAGGAGCAGGTCCAGGATGTATTCGGCCCCATACATGGGGTTCACCCGGCGGTAGCCATACTGTATCTCCTTGAAGTCAATAATGCGTCCTCTGGTCTTGGCATTGGCATTGATCATCTCCATGACCTGCATGACAATGTCATCCAAGGCCTCCCTCTGAGCGGAGTCCATCCCTCTCCGAGGCGGCTGGCCCTCAGCCGCAGAATACAAGTATTTCCCAGTCAGAAACTCCCACTCCAGGATCTCCTCCCGCTGGCGGGGCTGAAACCTCATGAAGGAAGGTGGGATTCCCAGCTGGAGGTCTTCTTTGTGAATCTCCGTGTTGCTGTATCTGCCCATCAGGACGATCTCTCGGTGGAGCTGGATGGTGCGGTGGCGAAGCTCGGCTATCTTGCGGCTGAGCATGTAGCTGTGGAGCCGGTACTGGTAGGGTGGGTTTTTGTTGGGGTGCAGGGTGATGGCTCGGTGAATTTTACTATTATGGAGATCTCTAATGTACCCCTTTTTGTTCTGTTCGTAATTCTCATAAAAAAGCTGCTGCATCTGTTAAGGAAAAAAAAAAAAGATGATGGCTAGGTTAGTATCACGTGACTCTGTCCCTCTAGTCTCGCATTTCCTTACACACCTGCAAAGTCTTCAAAAAAATCTAAATATTTGAAACCTTTCCAAATGAGCCACCACGGCATACCAGAAGCCTTAGGTAAAGCCCAATCTCCAGCAGTCTGATGGGATGAAATGAGTAAGAAATATGAACTGCATCAAGAAATAAGCCTTCATCAATAACCAGAGTTGGCCAATATAATTCTGAAGGCAAACCGAATTTTAAGAAAGTTTTCCTATAGAAAAGGTGTAATCTTCAGATCACGGTCAGCATACCTGGGAGAGAATGTCATCCTGGGTCCCCACCAAGCCCATGTAAGGGACCCAAGAGCCGAGGTCCCCCCTCCTGAAGACTGGCCCCCGGTGGGAGCTGCTGCCCAGCTGGAAGAGCAGACCCTACAGCTACCCCGACACAGGAAGTGCCCACATTGATGGTGTAAAGAGAAAAACTCCAGGAGCGGGACCTGACGCAGGACTAACACTGCTTCCAGGGAGCTGAAGACAAGGAAAGGGGAGGAGGCCTGCCGTCTGGAAGGGCATGCTGCAGGCGAAGCCAAGGTTCTGCAAGGTCACTGGAAGTGAGCACTCTGACTTGCTTGTTCCTAGTGTCAAGTGCACCTCCCCACGGCCTCTGTGCAGGCAGGAGAGGGTCTGCTCACTTAGCACCGGGGCTCCAGCACTGGCACAGGGCAGCACACGGCAGGCTCAGAATGTCCAGCTAAAAGGCAGGCAACCCAAACGGGCCCATTATTCCACCAACTTGTCCCCTGTCCTGGGACACTGGCTTGGGGGGAGCAGGGGGGACAAAGGTTTGAGGTCCATCAGCCCAAATGCGGCATGTTCCTTAAGTCAGATAGAGAATATACTTAATTCCCCTGAACATCCGAGCGGTGAGATGATGAGTATCTACAAAGCCTTCTGGAACGAAGAATAAAAATCTGCAAAAACCACTCAATAATATTGAAGTTGGTATGTGATAAATTAGTCCTGTTTCATTTGTGGGTCATTTTGGGGTTTTGTTCATATTGCTAAATACTAATGCTTGATAGGGTGATATGTATGTGAACCAAGCAGTTTATGTGCCTTTGGAAAGTCTTATTTTTTTTTTTTTCTGAGACATGGCAATCAATGTAACAGTAAAATATGGGTTAGCATTTTTACATCCGGTTTTCTTCTTCGATATGATACTACAAACTACCAATAAATAAAGCCAATAAGAAAAAAAGGGGAAATACTTCCACAGAATGGTGAGAGAGATAGAAACAGAGAGAGAAAGACAGAGAGGAAGAGGGGGCAAAGAATACAGGCCAGGTTCTGAGCAAGGCCTCCACCCACATTCACTCCCTCACTCAATTCTCAGGGAGCCACGAGTCTGGCAAATGCTGACCTTCTCAAACTCGGCCCTTTGCTCTTCTGGACGCCTGTGAGGTCCGTTCTCAGAGCAGGACTTAGCCTGGAATAAGACAACATCTCGGAAGTGCCCTGTTTCCAACTTTCTTCCCACAAGGTCTGTGATCAACATGTGACCTGGGTGCATGGGATCAGCCACTGAGGTAGTTCCCAAATTTTAAATTAATTAGAAAAAGCAGTCAGGTGTCAAAGAAGCTAGAAGGCAGGCAGAGCGTCCCGAACCTGGGAGAGCATCCCCGCCGTTGTGGTGTGCCAGGAGGCGCTGGGCGCACGCAGGGTGCTCCCTGACCAGCCTGCAGGGCCCCTCGTAGTTTCTGCTCCCAGGGGACAGCATACAACATAGGCACTCACTGATGTGCGACTTTACACACGTCTTCTGTCATTTACCAGGCAATGCGGGAGAGCAAAACTCCAATGCTGGACTCAAACGGCCAGAAGCAAGGCTGCAGTCTGGGATGTGCTTAGGGAAAGCAGGGCGCCCGGACTCCCCTTACCCCTGCGGGCCCCAACAGCAGCCCGGAGGCCCTTCCTCCAGTTATCTGAGTCCTGCCGCCTCCCCCCTCCCCTGAGGATGCCACCTGGGTGCAGGGGAGCTCCGGAAAGGACACAGTGGTGCCCCCACCACCACGGCAAAGGAATCAGCAATGGCCCAGGGCTCCATGCCTGCGGACTAGTAAAACAACTACTGTATGAGAGACGGAAAGCTATGTAATAATTTATATGTATTTGTTATGACGACATAGTATTTTCATTTTGTCCATTTAAAATTTTTAACAGTGGGCATGAAGAACCATGGCTTGTTTTAAAGGTCTCTCCATTTGCAAGAATGTAAACACAATGAACCATACAAGCTGCTTTCCAAAATTAGGTCAGAAGAGCCTGAAGCCGGTGGTGCTCCTCCCCCCTCCGGCCCTTGCCCCCTGCAGACAGTTAGTGCTGCCCAGCCCACCTCCCCGGGGTCTCAGGCCTTCTCTTCTCTCTCCAGGCTGGGCTATGCCTCCTCAGGGCTTCCCAATGGGGCTCCCTGCAGAATTCTGTTCTCCTTCCCTCAGGGCCATTTTGACACAGTAGCAAAAATGGTCTTAAAATACAAATCAGAGGCTTATGGCTAAAAATGAAGTCCTAGAACCCATATGATTCTTTCCAAATTATCTCTTCAAAGAGAAGAAAGAAGAAAGAAAGGAATAAACCCACAAGGACCAAGAGAATGGGAGAGGAAACACAGTAGGTAAGAGATGCCCCCAAATGCTGAGGACATGAAAAGGGAGCCAAGGAAGATGGCAGCTAACGGCCTGCTCTGAACAGTAACCCAATGTGCCCTTCAGAACCCCAGGAAAGGTGCTGTGAAAGGCAGGGGTGAGGCCCAGTGCTGGACCCAGCGAAACCATAGGCACATGGAGGGAGGAGAGCGCTGGCAGATGTCCAGCATCTTCAAAGACATGCTCCAGGTTACTCTGCCATTTAGATGATGGGGGTGTTGCCCAAATTCATGTAGGACTGCCCACCAACTGTAACGGAATCGGGATGCACGAGAAGCAAGTATTGGAGGTTTCTTAACACGGTCATCATTTACAGTAGTTGTTCCAGAAGAGATCTGTCTACAGGCTCCTTCCCTCACTCCTCTAGGACTTAGTTCACTGAACAGCTGGGCAGGGATGAAAGCAAGGCTGACAGCTTGAGGGAAATGAACGTCTAAAGAGCAGGGCTCCCAGCCCTTTCCTCAACTGGGTCTCAGAGCACTCACCCTCCACTCTCCATTCCCAGTAGGAGACTGGAAGAGTCTTTTCTGCATCAATTAAACATTCCCATAGATTATCTGGAGTCCTCCTGCAGAAGGGATCGCCCAAGGCCAGATCACTACAGCTATGACACTAGTTTAAGGAATCTTGCCTACAGGGCTTTCAGTTAGCTTCTTCAATGCCTGAGTCTTCCTTGATCATCAACAGCCAGGGACCATCAGGCAGCTGAAGGAGGGTTCCAGAGGGTTCCAACAGGAAAGATGGAGACAGAACACAGAAACAAAAGATTGCCGGAAAGAGAAACAATGCAGTGAACAGAAGAGAAACTCAACAACGGAAACAAAAAACAAACCTGTAGCACATTCACACAGAAGACAAGGCACTCGTGCAACAAAAACTGAATACTGTAAAAAAAAAAAAAAAATCAGAAAAACCAAAAAAGCTCTTGAAAATAAACATAAAATAGCCAAAGAAAAAAAGGAGAGTTTGAGGATAAAGCTGAAGGACATCCCAGAAAAGAGAGATGAAAACAAAATCAGGAAACAGAAAAGTATTCATTCCAAAAAGAGAAAAGCACATGAGGGAGAGAGTAACAATACAGAAAATGGGCTCAGAATTAAAGACACAGTTGCTGAATTAAACCCCAACTACCTAGTACTAAGAGTACAAACTCGGAACACCACAGATAAAGCAATCTGAAAAACTTCCAAAGAGGAGGAAAAGGGCCATGTATAAATTAACCTGAAACTAGAGTGCTCTGTCCTGACTGGAAGAGAAAGACCAATGCCTTATTAAAAGCAGGGGGGGAGTGAAAGTTATTCTCAATGGAGAATTCTCTTCCCAACCAAACGACCCATCAGGTAGGAGGGTAGAAGGGAGATCTTCAGACATTCAAGGACGGTTTTACCTCGTACTCATTCCATCCCAGCTATGAAAGGATGTGCCCCTCTAGAGTGAGGGAATACATCTAGAAAGATGATCACATAGGATCCTGGAAACAAAAGGTACAACAGAGAAGAAAGCAAAGAGAGCCCCAGAAAGACAGTGCAAGTAAGCCCCATAAGAAGAGTGCAATGGACTGGATGTCTGCGGACTCCCAATTCACCCCAAATGACATGCTGAAGTGCTCTCAATGTGATGTTATCTGGAGGTGGCACCTCTGGAAGGTGACTGAATTTAGATGAAGTCATGAGGATGAGGCCCCTGCGGTGGGATGGGGGCCTGTATAAGGGGGTAAAGGGACCAGAGCACTCAGTCCCCACCAAGACGGTACACAAGAAAGCAGGTCTGTAAACCAGGCAGATGGTCGTCACCAGAACCTGACCATGCAGATACCTTCATCTCAGACCTCCAGCCTCCAGAACTGTGAGAAATACATTTCTGCTGTTTAAACCACCCAGTTGACAGTGTTTTTGCTCTGGCAGCCAGGACAGACTTGAGACAAAGAGTTCTAGAGCAGACTGGGGGAACTGGTATCCAGACATTCACTACATCTCCAGAGTCTGGCTCACATTGGACACAAGACGCTCAGCAGGTATTTGGTGAATTTATGATAAACAGGAAAGTCTTCACGCACAGCAGGTATCAAGATACTGTGGCATGATTTAATGCAGAAGAACACAGATGACGAGGGCTGACAGACACGAGATCCTCAGTAACTAACGATGAGGGACAAGCCTGAGGTCCCTCTGGCTAGAATATATTTTGGAATGTAAAAATCAGCAGTGTATTTTGAGGAAAAATAAGTACCCTTCCAGACAAAGGATGTAGTTGTTATTTGTCCTTTACTCCCTA